AAAAAAAAAAAAAAAAAAAAAAATCTTACCATCTCTCATATAAAGTATATATATATTTATTGTAGGACACTTATCAATACATATCACATCATTCGTGTCATCAGATGACTCTATAGTAAAATTGAGTCAATATTATTCATATAATTAAATAATATCAATCATTCATTTTTACACATTACAGCAATTTTTAATTTACTATTCATTCACTCATATAATTTTAATTAATCATCACTTAATTATTTTTATCCTACTTTACACCAACTTTAATTATTTTTATCTTTACACCAACTTTAATTGTTTTATTTAATTATTATTTAAATATATTTACTAATAACTAACCGCACAACTTTTTTTTAAAAAAAAATAACTATATTTAAAAAACAAATCAAATAAAAACTATTTGAATCAATAAATATCACCCCTTGAACCCACCCAAGCATGGAGTTGGAATGAGCTAAATTGTGGTGCGTGTGTGCAAACACGTGACCCATGCGCGCGTGGATGTTGTGGAAGGATTTATCATAAATATTCGAGAGATAAATAAAAAAAAAAAATAAAATTAACGAAATACTAAGGCCGAGCATGTTCAATTCCAAGATCCAGAAATCTTCGAAATCTGACCGAACTTTAGAGATTCCAAAAACTGGATCTCTGGAGCCGAACAGGTTTCAATAAATCTTTGTTCCAAACCAAACAGAATTTCGGTTCGGTTCGGAGATTATGGGTCAGCTCGGTACGGATCTGAGATTTCAGAACTTTTTTTTATAAATTTTTTTAAATAAATCTCTTAATCGCATGTCAGATGGTACATATCATGGATGAAAAAAAAAAATAAACCTCCCTTAATTTCAAAAGATATTTTGTCAATTAATAGTAACAATAGGTGGTTAAAATCTTTTTTATTTTATACAAAGAAGTGATAATTATCTTTTAGTTGCAAAATATCATAATTTAGTTTGAAAGGTTTATATGCTAAACGTATATATGCCAAAAAAATCCGCAAGTGATAAGACGTACAGATGAAAAATAATCAATTTAAAGATAGTTACTTGTTAAATAAATGATATTCAGGAAATATATATGTCCAAGTAAATTAATCTCTTCTGATATCGTGAGATTCAGATATAGTACATATAAATTTTGTTTTTGAAAAATAAAGATATTTAATTTTATTATGTTATAATTAACTTTATAAATAAAATAATCGATATATCCGTTCTTAATCCAATACTATGGTAATGATATCTTAATTTATTCTTATTTTAAAATATCTCACCTTTAAATAAATAATTCTCTCTAAGTTTTGTGAAAGACTTACTTCATAAAGGTTGGTTTCCAAACATTCGATATTTAAATTTTATTAAGTTATAATTAATAATTTTTTAATAAAATATTTGGCATGTTGGCTATCAAATTTTGTCATAGAAAGAGTATATTAATTTAATGCTCTCTTCAAAAAATTGATTTGAAAATGATATTTTAGATTTAATAGTGTCTCATAAGTAGTACCAAAATAAAATATTTTCTTTTTCAATTATTAACTTCTGTTAACATTCAATAGTAGATGTTTTTTCGCAACTCAACCCGAAATATAACTTACGATAGTTTTATGGAATAGACATTGTTGTTATTCAAAATTGTACAACGATTATAACTTGTAATTTATATGAAAAATAAAACTGAAGCGTGAGAGGTTGCCACTTACGCTCGGCGCATTCTGCAATTATATATAGAGGGGATGTTATCTATCACCTCTTATGTAACACTTTGCTATCAAGTGTAACATTCTTTTTGTATCACTTTTTAATTAATTGAATTGTATCACTTTTATTCTTTTGTGGTAACACTTTTAATTATTTTTGCAACACTTTCAATTGTAAAATGTATTACTATTTCAATTCAAATGTAGCACTTTTTCTATCAACCAGTATATATATATATATATATATATATATATATATATATATAACTCTCTCATATATAAATCTCTCATGATAGAATCAAATTTGATAGATAAGAATTTCAATAGAAAACATGTAATTATGTCAACAACTCAACATACATAAAAAAAAAAAAAAAGCTTTAACTAGAATGATCATTATCATGATCACCTAAAACAAATACATGATTATTCAAAACATAATTTATCGAAATTATTAGAAGTAGATGTCGTTATTATGTTCATCATCATTGTCACTCACACTTGTAAATTTCATCCCTTTCATGACACGATCAACTTATTGGAGGTCGGAGGCCCACGATCATGAATTTGCACATCCATATACACTGTCATCCTGAAATACTAAAGTAAATAAAAATACACACATCAAGTCATGTCATACCAATGTAAGTAAAAAAATGAAAAACATGTTTGAACATCTCATAAAATATCTCATGGACATAACTAGTAACCATTTCTATAATTTTACATTTTCCATCACATAAATCAAACTACTATAGATACCTTAGATACCTAGCAAGTAGCTTTCACAATCAAAGAACTAAGACATTTTTGTAATGTAATCAAAATATCGAATATAATTATCACAAGTTTCTTAATGGAGATAGAGTTTATTATGGATAGGGCTGTTTTTCGACATCTCATGTACTATGTTATACGATTATTCCCAAAAGCACTACAAATCCAAACAAAACTAAGATAATGCAACAACACAAGGACTGGACTAATCCTAGAGAGTATAAAGAGTTCTGGTGCGCACACACACATAGAAAGTAAAATAATATAAATTGATAATCAAATTGAACCTTGTTCATTTGACTTGCCATGAACAAAAGATAATACATAAGATGAAATAGAATAGCATGGCTTATCTTTATTTGTTCACCAAACATTTGTGGAGCTAGGAACAAAACTTAGAAAGTATTCACATGATATTACCAGGAGTTGAACAACGACTTGACCCATGAGGTGTAGGCGCTTTTAAGAGGTTAGACTGACTCCAAATAATCAAGCCCACTCTGCAAGCTTTAACTTTCTCAAAACCCTATGAGCAGGCTTCCCCATCAGCATCTTTCATCTTTCTTGTTCAGTCCTTCGGCTTCTTCCCTTATTGAGGAAAAAGAATAAGAAGGACAAGAGTTAATCCACATTTCACAGACATGTGCGAAGAGATGAGCAGGTGTTATACACACTTCATATATTTATACTGTCTCATCCAATGTTACACTACAACACCATTAATCCTTAATTACATATAAATTGAAAAAAAAAAAAAAAAAAAAGTTCAAATGATACTATGAAAAACAAAGAATTCAAAATAAATCTCTATTAGAAAATTCTTCTCCAGCAAGACATACTTAGCTTAACCTCAACAATTTCATCCAAACCAACTATACATGTACATGTCACAATATAGTCATAAAATGCAACATAAATTAAATTGACATTGTTTGATGAGTTCAATCCAGATTTCTTCCACACAAATTGAATGATCTCAACTTTTATGCATAATTATTTTCACTTTATGCAATTAACACAACTTATTTTGAAACAAACTAGTCCAACACCCACTAGTATAGTTTCAGGAATAATATCAGTAAACAAAAAACTATATTTAAGGTATATTTGGATATGTTTTTTTCCACCATTCTCTGTAATTCACAAAATATTTCGTCACCTTACATGAAAAAGAAATGTGATACATTCAGAAACAGAAAAATTAATATCACAACTTCATAACCTTAAGTAAGAAATCTTATTGTCAATGCTCAAGACCATTCTTTTAGCACACCCCAAGAATCAAAAAATGTTATCATCACATATTGTAAAGAATTTGTCCTTGAAGCCAACAGGCATACATAAAGATAGCAAAATAGAGATTCATATGTTATAATTTATATCTTCAAAAGATTCACAGTTGTACTCAAGGTCTAGCCTCTAATAATACTTCAGCCAAAAGTTACAACTTTTAACTCTCACAAAAATGCATAGAACTGCCTTGATCCTATTAGCCACAATTTTGGATAGAACCTTGTAAATTACTTTACAGAGGCTTATAGGTCGAAAATCAGATACTTCTAAAGGATTAAGAATTTTGGGAATAAGGGAAATTATAGTATGGTTTATTTTTTGAGGAATGCAGGCTGACTGAAAAAAATTTTTAACAGCTGCACAAAAATCATTTTAAATAATATGCCAACAGGATTGGTAGAATAGGGGAGTCATACCGTCTATACCAGGGGCTTTGTGAGGGTTCATCTCCATCAGGACATCCTTGATCTCTTCATCTTCTACAACTTTTGTCATTGATTTTTTTTTTTTTTTCGAAACGATAGATGTACTATAGATAAGCGCACAAATGTGCGAAAATACAAATTGGGAGGCTAGACTGAGGTCCGCCTAGAATCGTTAGCAAGGCTAGAATGAAAACGACTCAAACACCAACACAAGAACCAACGACAGAGACAAAACGAAAACGACCCCAGCGGGGTGATGTGGAACGACCCCAAACGGAGTAATGTGGAACGACCCCTAACGGAGTAATGCCCGCAGGCTCACAGGGGCCAACGGCCCAAACCAAAAACACAAACCTAATGAAAACAAAAACTAAAAGAAACAGAAAAACCAAACAAAACTAAACGAAAAAGGCACAACCTCCCCCACCAGAAACATCGAGATACGCAGCAGACAAACCAACTCCAAAGACAGCTTACGGGCACAGAAACGA